GTTTCCATGAAGTAATGATCTTGATGCCAATAAAAGTAAAACCTTTTAATTTTCCTACTTATAAAAAGAGATCCATTAATACAAGTGACATTATCAACATTTACAAGGCTTTTTTAGTCATTCACAGTCATTACTTGCTAAGGAAGCATTAGTTTCCCATCTCTAATTGCCCTTGACAAAGTGGTGGTGAACTGCCTTCTTGGATTGCTGCAGTCCATGGAGCAGAGAGTGAGTGTAGTTAGATACATCCACGGTGCTATTTGATAAGGGTGTTTCATGATTTTGACCAGCAACGGTGGAGGAGTATAATTCCAAATCGAGACATTTTGTATGAATCTGAGGGGGACTTGCAGGTGGTGGTGCTTCCATGCATCTGCTGCCCTTGTCCTTTAAGTAGTAGACGTCATGGTTTTAGAAGATGCAGAGGAGCTTTGACGAGTTCCTTTCTAGCTCTATCAATGTCATTAGTACCAACATGGATGATGACAACTGGACCCCTCTCCTTCCACTCCATTTCCTCTCCAGGCCCAAGGTGATGTTCTTAACCTTGGCTCCAGGTAGTTAACACTGCCTTCAGGACTCTCACTCATAGCTGCAGAGAACAGTATCTATCCCCTTAAATTTACTATTGGGGTATTGTGGTAGATTGTTAATTTTCTCACTCTCGTCCACACAGCTGGCATGAATCTTGTAATTGTTGGACAGTTGCAAGGACAGAGGCCCTTTGAGGTCTGTCCATGGGTCCCCATTCCCACCTCAGCTCCTACCATACCCACTTGTCCTTGACAAAGACCAAGTTTGAAGTACCTACTCTAAGGCATGTGACCACCTCTTGGAGCAAAGTATCAAGGTAACTTTTCCTCTCCCTGATTTGGCACAATATCTGCTGCTCAGAATTCAGCTCCTCAACTTGGATCCAAAGTTGTTCAAGCTGCAGACACTTGCTACAGATGTGTTCCCCGTGGATAATGTTGGTGTCCAGCTGCTTTGATATGCTTCAACTGCAGCACATTACCCGATTTGTCATCTCTATCGTATTTGAATTAAGTTATTAGCAAAATCACTCCAGTATCTTGGGATTCTTTAAGTGTAAGTAACAAAGTGTTATCACTTCATTCAATTTTTTCCCTTTTTTAACATCTCCGTATCAATCTTATACTGAACAACCTATTTTTTAAAGGAAGAACAAAAGAAAAAAGTACCAGAGACCTGTTTACAATCTTAATACTTGACTTTAAATTTAAAGATCAGAAATACTCTTTAATCAGACACTTTGCTTAGGCAAAAGCAACGAAACCACTCGTTCCTCTGCTGAACTTCTTGAGACAGTCAACTCCAAGACTGAATTTGAAGTCGCACTGTCAAGTGCTCAGTAACACTAAGTTGGCTGCTTATATATGTTGCCAGAGCCAGCTCTTTCAATGCACCCCTTGAAAATAAGCCTACTCAAAGTTTGAAAATACAGAATTTTAAGCTGCAGATTTCACTTTAAAGCCAACTATAAATTACAAAGCAAATTAAGTTTGTGAATTTGGAAGATTTAGACACTTACATAGCTGGCAACCTCATGCACTCAGTCCAAGGCTGAACTGGACTTTCTTATTGAATTATTTATTTTAAACCTGTTTTTCTAATCAACCTATTAGAGATGTTATTACACACCTCTGGAGCAGGTGGGATTTGAACCTGGGGTGCGGACACTACTACCGCGCCTGAAGAGGGTCCCTGTTATTGAATTTATAGTTCCCAAATCAAAGGGTTTATTTCACTTGGTTAATGAGGTCCAGATTCAGCCAGTTCTTAATTAGGCTACTGTTCTAATATACCCCTTGAAAATAAACTTGCTCAACGCTTGCAAATAAAGAATTTTAAACTGCACATTTCACTTTACAGACAGCTACAAATTCCAATCTAAATTAGATCTACACAAATGGAAGACATTGACACTTTCTTACCCAACCAATGCACATCTTTGTTGTAGGTATGACTTTAACCATTGGAGCGTTTTCCCCATGCTTCTCATTGACTCCAATTTTGCTAGAGCATTTTGATGCTGTACTGAGTCAATGATTGCCTTGATGTTACCTTTCCTCTGGAGTTCAACTCTTTTCTCCATGTTTGGACAAAGGGTGTAATGACATCAGGAGTTGAATATCTCTGGCAGAAGCTAAACTGAGCATCCGGTGGCAGGTTATTGCTGGGCTTGGTATCACTGTCAGTGATTCATTCCATCACTTCGCTCATGATTAAGAGTAAACTCATGAGATTATAATTGGCCAATTTGCAGTTGTCCTGCTATTTTGTTGGCAGGACATTCCTGGGCAATTTCCCCATTGCCATGAAGATACCAGTGTTGTAGCTGTACTGGAACCACTTAGCTAGGGGGCAAGGTTAATTTTGGATCACAAATTATCAATACTGTTGCTGGGATTTTGCTAGGGCCCACAGTTTTATCAGTATCCAATGCCTTTAGCTGTTTCTTGACATCATGTGGATGTAAATCGGCTGAGGCCTAGCATTTTATGAAGTAGGAGCCTAAGGAGGAGGTTGAGATGGATCTTCCACTTGGCACTTGTGATTGAAGATAGTTGCAAAGCTTCTGACCTGTTTTTTGAATTGCTGTGCTGGACTTCCTCATCATTGAAGATGCAAGTTTTTTTTTATTCATTTGTGGGATGTGGGCATGTCTGACTGGTCTGTATTTATTGCCCGTCCCTGGTTGCCCTTGAGAAGGTGGTGGTGAGCTGCCTTCTTGAAGCACTGTGGGTTGACCCACAATGCCATCAGCAAGGGAAAGCCAGGATTTTGATCCAGCAACAGTGAAGGAATAATGATATTATTTCCAAGTCAGGATGGTGAGTGTCTTCGAGGGAAACTTTCAGGTGGTGGTGTTCCCATGTATCTGCTGCTCTTGCCCTTCTAGATGGAAGTGGTTGTGGATATGAACGTGCTGTCTAAGGATCTTGGGTGTATTTGCCTCCACCTCCTGTTGGCTGTTTTAATTGTATGCCACCATTCATGGCTGAAAGTGGCAGGAATGTAGAGCTTAGATCTGATTTGATGGCTGAGGGATCACTTAGCTCTGTCTATTACATGGTGCTTCTGCTGTTTGTCATGCAAATAGCTCTGTGTTGTAACTTTAGCAAGTTGAAATCTCCACAAGGCCTGTACAGTTGTTGTTCCTTTGGATACTATCATGGACAGGTGACTCTGCGGTAGATAAATGAGGAGGAGGTCAAGTAAGGTTGTCCCTCTTGTTGGTTTCCTCATCACCAGGCACAGATCCAGTTTAACAACTACATCTTTAGGACTCAGACAGCTTGGCTAGCACTACTACTACCAAGCCACTTTTGGTGGTGGAAATTGTCCCCCACCTTGAAGACTTTCTGTGCCGATGCCCTCAGTTATTTCTCCAATTGATGTTCAACATGGAGGAGTATTGATCCATCAGCTGAGGAGGTCCGTCCATGGGTTTCCTTGCCCATGCTTGACCTAATGCCAAAAGACATCATCATATCTGGCTTAATAGTGAGGATTCCCAGGACTTCTCCGTCCTGACTGTATATCACTGTACCGCCACCTCTGGTTTTAACTTCCAGTGGGAGAGGACACAGCCAATGATAATGACAGTATTTCCTTGACATTGTCTATAAGGTATGATTCAGTGACCAAGTCAGGCTGTTGCTTGACTAGACTATGGGATAGCTCTCTACATTTTGGCACGAGCCCCGGATGCTAGTAAAGTGGACTTCGCAGTATTGACAGGCTAGGTTTGTCATTATCATTTCTAGTGCCTAGGTCGATGTGAGGTAGTCTGTCTGGTTTAATTCTTCTTTTCCGGTTTCAAAGTGGTTTGTTACAACTGGGTGACATTTAAGTACAATTCCAAGGGCGTTTAGAGTCAACTATATGGCTGTAGGTCTTGGGTCACATGTAGACTGGACCAGGTAAGAATGACAGATTTCTTTCCCTAAAGGGCATTAGTGAATCAGATGAGCTTTTATGACAACTTTTTTTATTCTCGTGAGCCATGAGCATCACTGACTGGCCAGCATTTCTTCCCCATCCCTAATTACCCATGAGAAGGTGGTGGTGAGCTGCCGTCTCGAACTGCTGCAGTCCACCAGATGTGGGTTGACCCACAATGCCATTAGGAGTTCCAATACTTCGAAGCAATGCACAAACATCTTAAAAATGGCATACCAGATTTAAGTTTTCATGTTTCAAAAAGAAGTATGGCTGATTTTCTAAGTAAAATACATCCAACTTACAATGTAGGCAGGATTTTGACCCTGCAACACTGAAGGAATGACAATATATTTCTGAGTCAGGACAGTGAGTGGCCTGGAAGGGAACTTGCAAGTGGTAGTGTTAGTTCCCATCCAAGCCACTCATCTACATGACATGATTTCAACTAACAATAGTTATCAGTGGACTAACTTCTAATTCCAGATTTATTAATTGAATTTAAATTCCACAAGCCGCTATCCTAGGAGTAAATGTCCCTGGAGAATTAACCTGAGCCTCTAGATTACTAGTCCAGTGACATTACCATTACATCATTGCCACCCCTGTAAGCCTGTCTAGTTCCATATGTTAACCACTTCTGAAGATACAATATGTCCACATTCAAATTTCTGCTTTCCTCATGGTCTAGCATATTACAAAAGGTATGTGCTAATAAAAAAAAATTATGGACCCTAGGCAATGATTAAATGTGAAACACCCAAGTTGATACAACTGTTTATTTGTGCAGTAACTGTACAATGAAGGCTCTTTTTGCACACTTCTTTTTTTTTGAAGGGTTCTTGTTTGCATATTACATAGATATCTTAAAGAGTAAATTTAATGGCAGCTGACATTTTCTTTCATCTATTGAGCTATATGACTTGTTACACTTCTGTATTGTGCACTCCTTTTACTATTGTAGAAGAGGAACATTTTATACTGCTCAGGAATTATTTCACCATAATTTACTTATTTTCATTTTATGTTTGCAGTACAATCTATTGTGGATGTCTTCACTGTACAGCAGTTAAAAAATAAACCAATGGACAATGTTGGCAAGGCAGAACCTATCTATGGAATCATATATGCTTATATTAGTATGTTTAACATTGATTCTGACAATTCAAAGATAATAAAATCTAAATGGTAAGAATTACACTAATTTTAATTTTGTATACTAAAGATGCACAATTTTATGTGGTCCTGTACATAACATATGACAGTCATGTTTTACCTTTAGTCTTGACAGAAAATAGATGTATTGTGTATATACATAATATTTGCATAATTTTTCTATGTTGAGTAGTCACAATTTGGTAACAAATGTTTACTGGATGCAAGGATTTATTTTGCAATTTATCAACAATATTGAATTTGAAAGTATCTTCTCAATAGAAATGACAAAGTAAGGAAAAACTCAAATGATGCTAGAAAGCAAATAATATTTTGGCCAAAAGCTTCCAATATTGGGGAACATTTTTCACAACTGAAAAAGTCCTGCAACACACATGCTGACAATACTTAGACAGGAGGTTTTAACTCCTGTTGATTTTATCCTACCCTGATTGCTGCATGATTCCCTAGCACAGTGAGATAAGTTGACCATATTCATGCAAACTAGGGCACTTTACCCTATACATGCCCTGCTTTTTAAATGGGTTTATTTCCTGTTTTCCAGCTCAGGAGCTCAGCGCCATGTAAGTTAGCTGGTGTGTCAGTGCTCTCTGGAGGATCTGAAATTATGAAACCAGAATGCTAGTTAAAATTGTGCAAAACAAAAAATGGGAAAAATTATTATGATCTGAAATTGCATAACTTGATTTTGAATCCAGAACATTGTAAAGTGGCAAGTTGAAAGATTATACGCTGTTCCTAATGTTTTAATTAGGTTTCATTATGACAGTGTTCAGGCTGGAGCAGGGTGCATAATTAAACAGTAAGCAAGAATTGTAAAGTTATTTTGTGTTCCATATTTAATGGGAATCCTAAATGCATAATTCTGTGTATATCAAAGTGGCAGGTGCAGATTTTTGATTGATGTTGGTTCGAATGTATGCACAAATCCTTCCTGTTCATCTGGCACACTGAGTCCCTCAAGTATCATCACCAGTTTTGATTTCTGGGTGGATGTGTCTGATCATACTGGTACTCTTCAATCATGTAACTTATCAGGAAGCACAGCTGAAAAAACTCTTGGCTATACAGTAAGTAGCTGGGACATGGGAGTTTTGATTAAAGTTGCAATATAGCAACTGGTAGAATGCACTTTTTTAATATCCAGTGGTTCACAAATTGGGGTCTGTAGAGATTATCTATGTACTGTGAGAAATAACATAATTTTTGAGACATGGGCCCACCAGTTTTGTCAATATTTGTAAGTAAATATCTGTCTACTAAGTAAATTCCCAAAACTTTGTCTACATGCTGCACTTTCATATTGAGAATTATATAGAACTATAATTTAGATTGGGTTGGGGTGTTGACGTAATATCTCTGATTGCTAATCTATTTGAGAAGGGAACCTTTAACCAAAAGAGTTTGAGAATCACTGCTTTACTGCAATGTAAATTAACAATGAACTTCAATTGCATTGGCCACGCCATCCAGAAGTTTTACATCTCTGGACAGACAAAGAACGGTAATGTAGAAAAATTGGCTAAACTCAAAACAGTAGCATTAAAACTGAAAGAAATAAGTCATTTTTTAAAACCTCTTATAGATGCAGGTAAAAATTAAAGACTTTATTTTGTAGATTGTTTCTTTAATAAATTTGTGTTTTGCCTGTTTCCTTTCAAAAATATTGCATTTACACATTTCATAGTTAAAAACAGCTCTATATTAATTAAGAATCAGAGTGGATATTTCATTTTAACACAGTTAGCTAATTCAACTTTTCAATTTTGCTGTACCTGTGAAAATAGGATAGCACTTAAAAATATGTTACCGTCCATACAGAAAAGCAAATAAAATGCAATTTCTTTTCTTTCTGTGGATCATTAAAGGATTGCACTATCTTTAAAAAGTCAAAGAAGTATATAATAAGAAAATATTTGTGTTTTGTATAGGCACATATTACTATCTTAAATTATAGCTAAAACAAGAATATCAAGTGTCCTTATTGAAGTCTAGATTTTTAACTTTGTATTTATAATAAATTCATAATAAAATTTAGTTAGCAATATCATAAAACAAACCTTTAAGGTAATTTTGATTTAACGTGCTATTACTAGTTTTCCTGGGTAAAGACCACTTTGAAATGAGAATTTTCCCACAAAGACGAAGTTATTTTATATTGGAGTCCGAGCCACTATTGTTACCCAACGCAGAATGTGTTAAATATAGTCTGATAACATAATGCTACAGTGTTGCATATAACTGAGAGACTAAAGATGATGATCCCAACTGCACTGCCAGTCACATTCCTTAATCAAGGAATTTCATTCATAGAGTCATACAACATTGAAACAGACCCTTCGGTCCAATTCTGCCTCGCTGACCAGACATCCCAATCTGACCTAGTCCCATTTGCCAGTATTTAGCCCATATCCCTCTAAACCTTTCCTATTCATCTACCCATCCAGATGTCTTTTAAACGTTGTAATAGTACCAGCCTCCACGAATTCCTCTGGCAGCTGATTCTGTATACACCCCACGCTCTGTGTAAAAAAAAAAAAAGAAAAAAGCTGCCCCTCAGATCCTTTTTAAATCTTACCCACCTCATGTTAAAACTCTGGAATCAATTTGGCGAATTTCCTCTGAACTGCTTCAAATTCATTATATCCCTCTCTTTTTAAATTAATTCACATTAATGAATTTAATTAATTAACATTCATGTTATTAAAGTTATCTAATAGAAGGAAAGAAAACTGCAGCCCTTAAGTAAATGTTGTGCTGGTTCAATCACTCTATTGCAGGTGTATCTACAAGTTATACTATCCATATATGAGAAATTAAACAAAGAACATACAGATGGCTAGTCATAATTGTTGCTATTTGTAATGTGGTTTCTTTAGAAAGTTCCATGAATAAGTTTTAAATGATTGATAATATAAAATTATGTTAGTCATAAAATTTGCATTAACTGCATGTATATCAGATAAGGTTCGGAATTATATCCAGCCGACTAGTAATGTATACATTAAAAAGTACATCACCAGTAGCTTGGACTATTTTTCAAATTCCAGAACATTTATTAGGACATTTCCAATTCCACTACTGCCCACTAGTGGTCAGTATTCTTTGTATGCTGGCTTCTGAGTAATAATTTATCGTCATTTTTTTCTAATACAATGACAATAAATTGTTTTATGGACATAGTAAGCATTTTATAGAATACTTAAACACTCAATGCAACTAAAAACATAACTAGAAGTTTTTTTAAAAGCTGTAATTCTGAAATTATGCACGTGAACGTTTTGTAAACAGCAATGTAACTCATTTCCTTGCTCAAATGGGAAAGATTTAATATTAACCAGGCTGCATTGTGGAATACTTTTAACTGTAGCCATTCCCCACACATAGAATATTGTGTTTTTACACAAAAGTAGATTTGATATTTGACTTTCAACAGAAAATGATATTTCTGTATATGTATGAAAATAGTTATGCTTTTAAAAAATAATTTTACACCTAATATATTTTTCATTGTTCTGATTTAAATTTCAATTACTCTAAAAAGGGATGAGAATCTAATTTATACCTAAACCATGTTCTTATTACTTAGTAAACCAGATTCATTTCCAAAAAGAAAAGTTATTTGGCGATAGCTCTCCCAATGTCCTTGCCTTTGTCCTGGTTTGAAACCAATTTCATTTATGATTTCCCCAGTTTTGATGAAAGGTCATCAATTTGAAACATTTGTTTTTCCAAGGATGGCCTGCTACGTATTACAGCATTTTTTGTTTTCATTTCACACCTAACACTGAAACTAAATATAAAACTTCATGTGTTTAATTTGCATTACATCAACAGAAGCGATATAAAGCAGATGTACTGCAATTAAATCTGTGCAATTGCAGTAAAAGGTGCAGCACTGTAGTACTGTGGATCTGTCTAGGTCAAGTATCAAATTACAGATCCTCACCTAGAATTTACTTGGTTCAATGTTTTAATTGCTTACCCTTGAGGATCCATCACACCCAGATTTCTTTCTAATTTGAGGCTACTTAGGAACAAGCAACAACAGTGTCAGTGCGAATAATGCAGCTTCAAGAATAACGACGCAATGCAGGAAGAAATGTAATGATCTATGAGTTAACAAGTTTGGGAATTTAGTTAACAAATGGTGTACCCTAATAATCACACCACAACCTATTGTTCTATTCACTGTACCGCCATCCCACACCAACAATTAGTACTCAACCCTTCAACTCATGTTTTATCCCACTCTTGCAAACTTAAAACTATTGTAAGGAATTTGAAGATGAGTGACTTTGAATGACACAGGCTCAGAAGGCAAAGGCAAAAGACTGAATGGAGGTCAAAGCATTGAGGACCTGAAAGTAGTGCTGCAGGAAGTTTAGTGACCTCATGAGTTGCCAAGATCAATGAATGTATCTTCAATTACTATTTTCTACTAACTGTACTAGCAGCCTCAAATGTTGCATAATTTAGCTCGCCACAGCACCTAAACATTCACTAATAAACCTCACACCCCATGCAAGCCAATATGGTGCTCAACAACAGGCAGCAGGATCTAATTAGAAGCCTGCCTGCAATGATCTAACTCCAATGAGGGAGTACAGTCATTAGGCCAGCCATTATTGAGGCCATGGCCAGCAGCTCGGCTGAAAGTATTGAAAATGACAGTACTTAATATCTAATCCTCTTCACAGCCCACCATCCATTATCCTATTCTCTCTGGCGCTTCAAAGACTTGTAGCACCTTTGAAAAATTCACTAATAAACCCAATTACTTGCATGGGAGTAATTGAGAGAATGACCTTTATTGTATTAAATTATGGCATATAACTATGAGGAAATTTACTGTTAATTAAAACTACAAAACTGTAACTGTGCATCTCATGCTATAATTCCTAGACCCATGAGTTTTGCAGTTTAACAGAAGAGCAGAGGACATCATTAAAATGGAAATTCCTTTTGGAGAGGTGCAAGATTTATCTAAAGGTTTGGATTTTATTCTTCCTTAATTATGCCTTCTTTTATATTTTGCAGCATATTACATACAAAAAAGTCATGCTATTTAACATAAAACGAAAGAATATTTTATAATTGCTGTAGCGCAAAACTGCCTCCTGTGAAGGAACTACTCAATGTTCATGGTAGCCTGTGTACACTGGTCATATAATCACTACATAAATGGCAAATCCATTTATGGTAATGGGTTAAGTAAGTCAGACTTCATGAAGTAATCCACTTTGAATCCACAAAGAAAGAATACGGGAAAGGAAATCTTCAGTCCACTTCCTCCATGCAAGATATATCCTCATCTTGGTCCAGGGGTGAAAACTCTTCTACAGTGTTCCAACAAAGGGACAGCAAACCAGAACAAATCAGATTTGCCAATGCTGAATATTGCAACACAGTGAAATTAAAATATTCTTTGTTTGATCCTTCTTCCTATGAGACCTTCTCCCCCAAACTCACCTTTTCCTCCAGAAAGAGTCCATTTGACAATACAGCCTGCCCTGCTCAGTGCCTTCCCTCACTTTTGCCACCTGCTGCTTTGGTACACAATTCTTGAGATTTGCAGTCCTGGCAACACAACATAACATTTCCCAAGCAGTTGCATGATTAGCAGGTTCACTTGTGCCATGATGGGTGCACTGGTTGTTTCCATGTTAGTGGCAGCAATCGCTTCTTGCACCAGTCGACTGGGTAAGTGATAAGGGATGAGGTGATATCCAGCATTCCTTGTAAGGACCTTCTCAGCCTCTTACCTGTACGGATACCTTCCATCTGATCTGGTGGTGAATCACTCACATTGGGATTTAGCTTGGTTAGGTCTCTGGGAGTCTTACGTTGAATCTGCCTCAGTTTCTGCTTCTTGGTAGGTCTTCCTTGTATCATTTTCCAGGACAGGAGAAAGTCTCCTCACATAGGATGCAGCCCTTCAATTCACAACTCACAGGTCACTGCAAGATTTCTCATCATGATTTGGCTCCACTTCACTCAAGCCAGCACACACCAAGACTTCAGGTTCTGCAATACTGCTGATTGAGCTATTTGCCTCCACATCATCCATCAGACTTCTGGTCTGAAGCAACTCCCCACTGTGAACCATTTTCTGAGGATGCCATCCAACTATCAGTTCATTAACATAGGCAGTTTTCAGCTGCTTGGTGAATGTGTAGTTCAGGGTCCCATTCATTCTGCATCTTATTCAGATCCCCAATGTTCTGACAATGGAGGGATACTGTTGTGCCATTTGGAAAGGCAGTGCTGTCAGCCTTGCAGTTATTCAATGTTTTCCTTCTCCCTCTCAGTCCTGTTGGAAACCATCTTGAATGCCTAGCTTAGCCTTGTGTGAAGCTCAGGTATCCACTCATTGACCTGCCCATCTCCAATGAAAGGTGTGGTGAGCTCAAGGAGAATGTTCATAGGAAGGACTGGGTCTTGTCCAAAGAAGAGGTAGCAAGGAGAAAAGCCTGTGCATGAATGTGGGATGCTACTATAAGCTTAAAACATATTTGGGCTACTTGTGTTTACTCTCAGGAGATTTTTTTTTTCCTTTATTCATTAATGGGATGAAGGCATTGCTGGCTAGGCAGCATTTATTGTGCATTCCTAATTGCCTGTAGGGGAGTTAAGAGTCAACCACATTGCTGTGGAAATGGAGTCACATATGGGCCAGACCAGGTAAGGATGGCCGTTTCCTTCCCTAAAGGGCATTAGTGAACCAGATGGGTTTTTCCAATAATCGGCAATGGATTCACGGTTATCATTAGATTCTTAATCTCAGATATTTATTGAATTCAAATTCCCCCATCTGCCATAGTGGGATTTGAACCCAGGTCTCCAGGATGTTATCTGGATTGACAGTCCAGTGATAATACCACTAGGCCATCGCCTCCCCATGAGTGATAGTCATGCAGAGTATGAGTGAATTGTTCACACTCTGTTAGCCTGTAAATGATAGGGAATGGTGCAGCTTTAATCAATGACACAGACTTTGTACAGTTCCTTTGCTCTCGAAGTTGCACCCATGGTCACTCTGAATCTGACACACAACACCGAAACAGTCAAATCAATTGCATATTATCACTCTAGAAATAAATGAACCCTTTTGGTCATGTGGGAATGGCCTGCATGAACTTGGTGAAAACATTTATGAGGATAAGAACATGCTCAGTCCCATTAATACAAGGATCAAGGACTGTAAAATCCATTGCAAGGACCTCCAGAGGTCTCTTGGTGTGCAGGGATCTCGTTGTTATGAACAGGCCCTGGGTAAGTTCCAGATGTGACAGAACTGTTAGGCTCCTAGTTGAGGAAGGATGGTTGCAACAAGGTTAATTTATAAAGAATCCCTTCTCTTTTGGGTACCTTTCTCCCAAACCCAAATAAACTTAGGTTTTGAAAGTAGCCAATTTAAATACACTTTGAGTCTAGAGCCATACAGAACCAAAACAGATCCTTTGCTCCAACTAGTCCATGTTGGACATAGTCCCAAGCTAAACTAGCCCCACCTGCCTACTACTGGTTCATATCCCTCCAAACCTTTCCTATTGATGTACCTATCAAAATGTATTTTAAACATTGTAATTGTACCCACATCCACCACTTCCTCAGGAGGTTCATTCCATACGCAGGAACATGGGATTTCTCAGGCATATAGGCATCAGGAAAGCTAGATTACCTGGCATTCTAAGATGTGGTACCAATGACCACAGATGACTTGTATATTGATGGAATGGAATCTTTTTCTGTTCATGAAGTCAGCTGCAAATGATATGGTGTTCTCAATGCAATGGGCGTATACTCTCAGGCACCCAGTCGCTGGAGTCTGCTGCTGGTCTTGGGCTTGCTGGCACATTTAGTTCTTCTCTGTTTCTCTGCACCTCCATTGCACTGTGGTAATAGTGACAATAGCCCTTGCTATGGTGGGATCCAGTGAATCTGTGTGGGGAACATCAGAAACAGAACAAGTCTTTAGTAGTGTGAGCAGTCAGAATTCATATCACTCAAAAGGGATGGTTTAGCATAGTCCTCCATATAGTGGGACATGTAGTCCAACGAGGAAGTCTATGAAATGCCTTCACGTGGACCTTAGATTTCGGGACTTTATTCTGATAAATGTAGCAAAAGCCGTGTCACGTAAATACAGTAGGTGATCTTAGTTGCTATATGATTACTGATACCTTGGCAACACTCCACATCATTCAAGAAAGGCAGCATTGTGCGTAAGAGATTTGGTGAATTTCAAGATGGGAGGAAATCAGTACCACTTAGACTAACGTAGAAATAAGCAATTTTCCCCATCGAGTCTGTTCTGATGTTCAGTGTGATCATGGCTGACTGATAATCCTTAGCTCCATTTTCCGATCTTTCCTCCATAACCCTGATTCTCTTATTGATTAAAAAAAGACATCTCTGCTTTAGTGCACTAAATGAAAGAGCCTGTACATTCCACAAATAAAGATTTCCACAGATTCACTATCCTCAGAGGAAATTCCTCCTCATCTCTGCCATTAATGGACAATGCCTTACTGAGATTATGCTCACTATTCTAGACCCTCCTCTAAGGGAAAACAACTTCTCAGTTTCTACCCTGTTAAGTTCCCTAAGAATCTTATATGTTTCAATCAGGTCACCTCTCATTCTTCTGAACTCTAATGAGTCCAGGCTCAACCTACTCAACCTTTCCTCATAAGAAAATCCTTCCGTACCTGGATCAATCTAATGAATATTCTTTGCACTGCTTCCAATACCAGAGTATCTTTCTTAGATAAGGAGATTAAAAACTGCTCACGTTATTAAAAAAATTGTCTGATTTTTAAAATTTTGTTTCAACATTACGTTTGTATATAGGAATTTCAGTTGCTGAAAAATTAGCAGTGAAAAGAATTCTGAATGCAATTTGAACAATTTGTGGCCTTATTGTGTAATCGCTTCCACCAAGACATAGCATTGCTGCAGCTGTGAAGATGACCATCGTAATACATTTTCATACAACTAGTTTATTCCAAGCCATCATATGGGTTAAATGAGTCACTCAACTATGAATATGTTACGCTAGAACCAAAATATTGTAAGATCTGGAGGGAAGCTCTTACGCTCAAAATCTACAGAGTATTTCGAGTATTTTCTGTTTTTATCTCAGATTCCTAAAGTCTGTATTAATGTGATTTTGTATGTATATTGCCTGGTATGCAAAATAAATCTATTCTTTAACTTCTGATTTTGGTTTTCCTATTTTACTATGTCTCTCAATAAAAAGTTGTGAAGCCACTAGATTCTCATTACTTAGCTAAGAATAGTTTACTTTAAGCATCCTAACTCGAAATACTCTTGTAGATTTTGAGCGTAAGAGCTTCCCTCCAGATCTTATTTATTAATCAATACAAATATTCACTGCTACATGTTTTTATCTCATTATAAAAATGCTTTTTTTTCTTGTCATTGTGTATAGTTACTTGCATCAGGCAGTGCAAGAAATGGTGTGAGAACAAGCCTACTTTCCTGCAAAGTAGCTGATCCTGAAGAGGCCAGTCAGACTTTGTCCACGTTAGCAATTTTCTGAAACAGTTGCTAATTATATTGATGATTCCCTTGGAGCTCAAATAATTATGCAGAAGTTCTGTTGTCAGTTTATTTGGACTAATTAGTCTTTAGATAATTTTTTCCATTATTTTGTTGTTGCAAAGACTTATGAAACATCAGAATATCCAACAAAAAATGTTTCTGTCCAATCAGTTTACAGTAAATGTATAACAAGAAAACAGTGTGACCAAGGTGAAAAATATTTTACTTACAGGAACTTGCTGTCATTCTTTCTAAGTTCACATATTGCCTCAGACCTCAATAGTTTCCTTACAGTCGCCAGACTTTGTTCAATCTGTTATCTTTTTTAAATACTACAGCCTTTGAATTATTTTCATTGATTTTAGAACATTTGCAAATCTTCTAGTTGAACCTTATCAATGTATCGTCCTCTTCTGTGCTGTCTATAATTAACAAAGGTATCCTTTATAACAAAAAAGAATTTAAAAAAAAGAAAAAATTAAGATGAAAAATGCATAAGGGAGAAACATAAAACAGTGTTTCACTCTTGTGTGTCATCCATAGCACAATATTTTGTACATACCCATTAGATCTGGCATAAGGATTCGAACATCCAAACACTAGGCAGTTAAATTTTCAGGTTAACTCTTGTTTTCTCTCACAGAAACTGCCAGACCTGCTGAGTTTCACCAGCAATTTCTGTTTTAGTTTCAGATTTCCAGCATCCACATTTCTGTGTTTAATGTCAGTTAACTTATTTGGTGATGTCACAATAACTACTTGTCACCTTAAAGACCTTTGGAATTTGTCAGTTTATATTTTAACTGATAAAACAGTCAGTGATTTCTGATATTAGGTAAGTAAAACATCTCTATTGTAAAATCTGCTAGTTCTTTATTTTAACAAGATAGTGCCTTTTGGACAGTTTAGCAGCATAGTTTTCTCTGATCTAGTGTTTTGTCACTGAAAAACATGTTTTGATAATATTGATAGACTTTACTACTTGACAGTTGGTTGTTCTGAACACTGCTGTGTTTTAATACCAAGTTAACACTTTTTTATCGTCTTGAATGTGTTGTAATATTACAATGTAAATGTAACTCCAAAGTTAACTTGGGCATTTGATATCTAAGGCATTAAATACAACATGTGTACAACAGCCAATAAAAATTAGATTTTTGTGGAGTTTCACAGGTTTCCACCTACATCTCTGATACTGAAATAGAACTCTCCAGGGAATAATATATACCTTTGTCTCTGAGTAGAATGTAGCTTGTGTCCAACCTCTCTGAATTTGTGCTTACTATGTAATCTCCATCGAGAGTCACATATCCTTATAATAAAACTAGAAAGTGTTAAAGAAATTCAGCATCTGTGGAGAGAGAAACAGAGTTAACATTTTGAGTCCAATGATGCTGTTTCAGCACTTTCCATTTTTATTTCAGATCTCTAGCATCTGTAATAGTTTGCTTTTATTTCTGAAATTATTCTGGAACACAATTTTTCCACCTCTTTCTGTAAAAATTAAAAATCCAATGTCTGCAAATACTTCATGCAACTTTTTCAGCTATACGTCTGTTTAAATTTATGATGAAAATAGCCTACATAAACTTACCATATTGTAATTACATCCTAAACCCTAATAGCAAAGCTACCACTTTTCAGAGTGTAGTTATATTGTAAACATTTAATAGGTTGTATCCATTATAAATGGAATGAGGTTATAGTGGAAAATATAAAAATAAGTACAGAATGTGAAGACTGTAAAATGGGGACAATTAGATCTGTTTGTGTAGGCACAATTACAGTATCCCCTAGCCTCCCGCCATCTGAAATCTATATTTAAAGTGGTGACAACCCTGCATGGTTAATAGACTAGAACCATACAACACAGGAGCCCTTTCCCCAACATTGAAGGAGCTATATCCAATTAGTTCCCAACCACTTCTCTTCCTGTATAATTCTACACATTTTTATTTTCAATTAAATATCAAATGTTCTTTTCAGTTACTATTACATTAGTTTCCTTTCCTTGTCAGGCAGTGCATTCCAGAACATGAAACCACTGTGCATCAAATGATCTGACCCAAGCTCACTCTGGTTTTTCTGCCAATTATCAAAGTATCAAAAATAAATACAGTTTGACAGTAACAAAAACAGAAATTGCTGGAAAAGCTCACCAGGTCTGGCAGCATCTGTGAAGTAAAATCAGAGTTAATGTTTTGGGTCCGGTGATGCTTAAAACTCTCTTGCAGTACATGAGTTTTGTTTTGTAACAAGCCTAACCTATGAACACAGTTGTTGAAGTGTTAATTGTCAGCGTCAGCTTCAAATATGTCATCTGTGGCCAATAAATTAAAATGTTGGTACAAGTGTTAAAACTATTGGTCCGTCTCAAGATACATGACAATTTCCTTGTGCTGAAAATGCTGTAATAGTTGTAAATTTCTGTTGTATGTTAATCTCAAAGTAACAACATGCTTTTTCTGCAGCGAGGTAGTTCCTGAACATTTGTAACTTCTCATGATTTATGTAGATGATTTGTGTAATTTTGGAAAACGGATATATTTTCTATTGCCAACTTTGAGGAAAAAACTATGGTAAAAATATGAACAATACACTGGTTTCATTTGTGAACAATCCATAGGTTTATATTTCTTTGCACTTGATGTTACTATGTGGGTAATCTTCCCAATATTCAGCTCCTTAATATTTAAAATATTAATATTGTCTTTCATACAATTTCATGTATTTTAGCCTGTTAATTTCAATGCATGCAGATGGTTAGAAATGTTTATTATACAGAACTATTTTATACACCTTTACTTGTTCAGGCCTTTTGTTTTTCATCATATTGCCCTGTTTACTTTTTAAGAAGTTTTGTACAGATTTTGGTTGACATAATGTTGAGAAATGCCAGTCCGGCCTTACGTTTAGTCATTGAGTCATAGAGCTGTACAGCATGGAAACAGACCCTTCAGTCCAACTGGTCCATGCCGACAAGATATCCTAAATAAATCTAGTCCTGTTTGCCAGCATTTGGCGCATATCCTTCTAAACCCTTCCTATTCATTTACCCATCCAGCTGCCTTTTAAATGTTGTAATTGTACCAATCTCCACCACTTCCTTTGGCAGCTTATTCCAGACACACACCAACTTCTGCATGAAAAAGTTGCCCCATAGGCCTTTTTAAATCTTTCCCCTCTCACCTTAAACCTATGCCCTCTAGTTTTGGACTCCCCCACCCATGGAAAAGACCTTGGCTATTCACCCTATCATTGCCCCTCATGATTTTATAAACCTCTATAAGGTCACCCTCAGCATCCAACGCTCCAGGAAAAATAGCCCCAGCCTATTCAGCCTCTCCCTATAGCTCAAACCCTCCAACCCTGACAACATCCTTATAAATCTTTTCTGAACTCTGTCAAGTTTCACGTCTTTCCTCCAAAGTGCAATTTTATCACATTATATTATTGGTTCAGCTCCACTCGTCCAATATAGCCAAAGTAGCTTCAGAAACTAGTTGATGCTGGGTTTCTGCGCTTCATCTGATATTCAAATGATTCACAGAATAACTTTCAGTCATGCATCTGGAAATTTTAAATTGTAGTTCAGACAAGTGAATGTATGGTCACTCTTACAGATCTTTCCATTGGGGGACAACAAAAAGATCTGCTTAAGGAAATTCTGTTGAGTGTTAGAGCAGTATGTCCAGAATATAGACCTATTCCCAACTTTAGTGCATTGTTGGGTAGCGACAGTAACACTGCATTTCTGCCAACTAAAGTAAGTATTTTTGACATTGTATCTAAGTGGCTGATGCTTACTATATTTGGGCCCAACCAGGCTCAGTGGGCCTTATATTAAATCTCCTCCCAGCCCAGCTTGACAGAATCCAGATGTTGAAGGAGCCAATTTTCTTATTCACAGAATCTGGGTACCACTGCCTAGGCTATCATTTACTCCCCTCCCGAATTACTTTCGCTGCCTTCTTAAACTGCTGCAGTCCATTTGGAATTTCATAAGTTCATAAGAAGTAAGGGCAGAATTAGGCCATTCAGCCCATCAAGTCTGCTCCACCATATGATCAGGGCTGATATACTCCTCACTCCCATTTTCCTGCCTTCTCCCTATAACCCTTCAACCCATTACTAATTAAAAATCTGTCTAACTCCTCCTTAAATTACTCACTGTCGCAGCATCCATTGCACTTGGGGTAGTGAATTCCACAGATTTACAACCCTTTGGGAGAAGTATTTTCTCTTCAACTCTGTTTTAAATTTGCTACCCCTCATCCTAAGACTATGACCTTTCGTCCTAGAATGCCCCACAAGAGGAAGCATCCACTCCATGTATATTTAATCTATATCTTTTACCATCTTGAATACCTCAATTTGCTCTCCCCTCATTCTTGTAAATTCCAGAGAGTGTAGGCCTAAACTCTCTCTTCATACAACAAACCCCTCATCTCTGGGATCAATCTCGTGAATCTCCTCTGAACAGCCTCCAATGTCACCACATCCTTCTTCAAATAAGGGACCAAAACTGTGCACAATACTCCAGGTGCAGTCTCATCAATGGCTTGTATATTTGCAAAAACCCTTCCTTACCTTTTATATTCCATTTCTTTAGCCATAAAAGCCAACATTCCATTCACTTTCTTTATTATCTGCTGTGCCTGCGTTTTAGTTTTCTGTGACATGAATGAGGACACCCAGATTCTTCTGCACTGGAGTACCTGAAGTGTTTCCCCATTTAGATAGTAGGTCACCTTCCCGTTTTTCCAACCGAAATGCACGCCCTCACACTTATCCACATTAAACTCCATCTGCCAGACTTTGGCCTACTCTCCTAACATATCTATGAACATTTGTAACATTCTTATTTCCTCATTGATATTTACTGTCCTGCCTATTTTTGTGTCATCTGCAAATTTGGCTATAGTGCCTTCTATCCCTGTATCCAAGTCGTTAATGTAGATTGTAAATCGCTGGAGTCCAAGGACTGAGCCCTGTGGTAACCCACTTGTTACTTCTTGCCGCCCAGAAAAAAACCCATTCATGCCTACTCTGTCTTCCATCCATCAGCCAGTCACCTATCCAAGCTAATAAATTACCCCTAATTCCATATTATCCAACTTGTGAATTAACCTTTTGTGCGGCACCTTATCAAATACCTTCCGAAAGTCCAGATATATTACATCTACAAGATCCCCATTATCCACTTTGCTTGTTAATCTTCGAAGAACTCTAGCAAATTATCAAACATGATTTGCCCTTCATAAAATCATGCTGACTCTGATAGATAGTGTTTTCACTTTCCAAATGTCCTGATATTGCTTCCTTGATAATTGATTAAGAGAGTTGCCCAACAACAGATATTATGCTAACTGGTCTGTAATTTCCCACATATTGCTTGCCTCTCTCCCTTTTTGAATAGGGGCTTTACATTAGAATTTTTCCAATTCACTGGAACCTTTCCCATGTCCAGGGAATGTTCGAATATTGTAACCAATGGATTCACTATCTCTGCCACCACTTCCTTTAATACTCTAGGATGTAGGCCATCAGGCCTGGGGAACGTGTCTGCCCTCAATCCTAATAGTTTGCTGATTTGGTACACCAATAGCATTGTTAGGAAGCAAGTTGCAGGAATTTGACCTAGCAATAGTGAAGCATCATCTATATAGTTCCCAGTCAGCATGGAGAGCGGCTTGGAAAGGAATTTGCAGGTGTTGGTGCTGTTCGGGAGAGGGGAATGGTCAAACCCCTCTGATAATTAAACCAAAACACAAGCCCCACCTGTCATGATGGGAGTTGATGTTCACTTCTAATAGTTACCCCTGAAACACCCAGAGAAGCTTGTCTTTCCCCTCAATCTATTAAAAGCGTGGTTAAAAGAAAGAAAATCCCTAATCTCCACCTTACAAATACCAAAAAACAATTTATTTATTTAACCCTAACAACGAACAAATTAACAGAATTACTAACAAACTGAACAATTCCCTTCTAGACTACTAACTACTTCCTAACTGGTCTAAATTCTACTGGAATGCTGTTCAAATAAACCCAAGTCCCACTTGTACAAACTCAAGTTAATAAAACAATAAATTAAAACTTAATCTCTCCAAGTTCGCACAGTCTGTGTCTTCTCCGCTTTATCTCCAATCTTCCTTCTGTTGATTTCACATCATAAATGCCTTTCTTCCACTGATTCTGCTTTCTTGGATGTTTTATTCCACTTTAATATCTTCGGTGAGGACTTAGAGCTAAAATACTTTTGATAGGTCTTTTTAGAGAGCTCAATAATTTTATGTGAAAGCCAGGTTTGTATCTCAGATGATGGACTTGCTTTCACTGCAGCTGAAGTTTGGTTGTCCCCTCAGATGGTAGTTGGCTATTTCCTGATTTTCCAAATGCCTTCATCTTTATATCCATAATGACATCATAATATTTCTTATGTAGGATAGGTTCGATGTCAACATCATCAGTGTTTAAATTCAATTAGCTGTCTGTATCTCAGTGTTTGGTTTAAATTAATTGGCCAAATTTGTTGTCTTGGTAAAAGAAAAAGCTGTTTGTCCTTTCAATATAAACGTTTCAATTTTTGGGAACTTTCTGTACTGGCACCCTCTAGCTGCTGCTCACATACGTACTGGGCCTCCTCCAGTGTCACAATGATGCCACCCGGAAACTGGGGGAGCAGCACCTCATATTCCGCCTTGGGAGCCTACAACCCAATGTGGTCTCAATGTGAACTTTACTAGCTTCAAAATCTCCCCACACCCAGCCTCATCCCATGACCAACACTCCCTCTCATTCCCGCCTCCTTGACCTGTCTGTCTTCTCTCCCACCTATCCACTCCTCCCACCTCACTGACCAATCCCCACCACTGCCTACCTGCACTCACCTATCACCATCCCACCTACCTTCCCCAGCCCAACCCCCCCTCTCTATTTATTTCAGAACCCCCTTCCCCTCCCCAATTTCTGAAGAAGGGTCCCAACTCAAAACATCAGCTTTCCTGCTCTGTGATGCTGCCTGGCCTGCTGTGTTCCTCCAGCTCCACACTGTGTTATCTCAGACTCCAGCAGTGGCAGTTCTTACTATCTCTCACATACATTTTAAAAATCTCTAAGCACAGGAAAAAAAAACACCTTTTAAAGGGACAACACACTGCTTTTCCTCGCTATCATTTTTGCCAACAAATTCCAACTTCCTGCCTTCCATTTCATGATTATCCTATACAACATCGTAACAATGCTCCTTTGCATCCATTGCCCTTGTCCTTTCAGTTAGTAGAGGTCGTGCGTTTGGAAGGTGTTGTTGAAGCAACCTTGGTGAGTTACTACAGCGTAACTTGCAGATGGTGCATTCTGCTTCAACTGTGCATCTGTGGTGGAAGGAATGAATATTTAAGGTGGTGGATGGGGTGCCATCAAGTGGGCTACTTTGTCCTGGATGGTGTCAAGCTCCTTGCGTGTTGTTAAGAGTTGGATATATTCAGGAAGGTGGAGATTATTCTTTCATATTCATGATCTATGCTGTAATAGTTGTACCTATAATAGAACAGGCATTTACCCACTTCTTTCTCAGTCCAAACTGGCCAACTGCAGTTTAAAATTGCAGGCAGAAAGGCAACAGGAGCCAGTAGGATCCTTTTTAAATATGCACATTAGGCTGTGATGATATCTTGGGGCCCCTTCTGCTATTATAACTTGAAACCTAAGCTGGAAGTGCCTGCCAGAAACAGCGCCAAAAGAGAGACAGTAAAGCAAGTTGTTTTTTTTTAAGTTCTAGTTTCGTCCAGAGCAACCACAGGCATTTTTGTCCCCAGGATTCTCACCCTGCCCCTGAAATGCACTTCCTTACTTGACATGCAAGTGTCTGGCAACTACCTGCTTCACTTTGAAGAGCTGGCAAACACATGTCTCCAACTTCCCAAACATTTTGTTTGACAACAAGCATGTTAACAAGTCCTGGCTATTCACTCAAGTATTTTGAGTTATGTTTAGAAATGTTCTGTTTAACCATGCCAGTAGTGCCCAAAATCTATCAATAGCAACTTAAAACTGGATATCTTGCTTTCACATGTGCTGTCACAAGTGCTTTTCCACTTCAGTTGGCAGAAACACTTAACTTGCCCTTGGCATTGTCTTTCTCTCTGACAACTTAAACTCAGACATTTAGTCTGTATCAGTGAGTGCTATACTTGACTGCTGCTCTCATAATATATGTTGGGTGGTTATCCTAGCAAATGGGCCTGGGAAGAGTCTAAGTTTATCAATTATATATTCCACAAATTGGCATTTCTGGCTTCAATACACATTCAATGCCTATAGCCTTTGTCAACTTGTATGAAATCATGAGACAACAAGGTGCAGAGCTGGATGAACACAGCAGGCCAAGCAGCATCATAGGAGCAGAAA